GCAACCAATAAATCCACAAACCTTGTGAAGTACCTGCCGTGTGCCACTCATTGACCCAGGTGCTGGGAATAGAAAGAGAAAACTGAGCCCTCAATGTGCCTACATTCTTCACCGCTTTTCTCTTGAAAATTCCCAGAAATTCAGNACAACCAATAAATCCACAAACCTTGTGAAGTACCTGCCGTGTGCCACTCATCGACCCAGGTGCTGGGAATAGAAAGAGAAAATGAGCCCTCAATGTGCCTACATTCTTCACCGCTTTTCTCTTGAAAATTCCCAGAAATTCAGCCAAGAGGATGACTTGGGGAAGCTGGGAGAGTCACTGAGACGTGGGGGAGAGGCTGTCTGCTGGCACCCAGTGAGCCTTAGGAGTGGGCAAGAGGAGAAGGGCTGCCTTCTAACTAAACTCTGCTTTATCTCCTTCCTTTGTTTGGGTGTTGGGCACGTGCCCTTGTCCTCTGAGGGAGGCAGGAGGAGGCAGCCAGCCAACACTGACTGGCCGCTTATTTTACAAGTGGGAGCTTTATCCAGAGATGGAGATGTTTTCTTGAGTTGTCAGAGTAAGTTAGGGGATGAACATGATCTTTTTGGCTACCTCTCCAAACCCGAGGTGCATGTGATGGATGCAAGGGACAGCAGAGCAAAAATCCAGCAACCTCTGGACAGGGGATGTGTGTGGGAGATGTCCAGGATCTGAGCAGATAAAGGGAAGGCCCCAGGGCAGGGGTGGCTGTGGCTGGGAGGCTCCAGCAATGATGAGCGTCTGAAGAATGGCATTTTCATTTCCCTCTGAATTTCATTACAGGTGCATGTGTGTGTATGGTGGGGGGGGGGGGGGTTGGAGTGTGAAGGGAATGGACCCCTGCAGCAGGAAGGGAAGTGAGAGCAGGGAGGTGCAGTGGAATCCCTCCAGAGTGGCCCATCCTGGCACAGTCAAGGTGTGAGCTCACGTCCCCCTGTCTCCAAATGCAGAGCTCTCGCCTCTGTAGCAGGCTGCCTCTTAAAATCCCTCTCAGTCACAGCAGAAGCTGCAGTGTGCTTCTTTGTCCAAGAAGTCCCATTGGCAGGTCCAGAAGGTAAATGAGAAGGGGCTGGTCAGGGTCATGTGCAAAAGCAATGAAAAGGGCTGAGTCTGCAAGAGATACACATTTCCAAGGAATTAACTGGAAACTGAATCGGGCTCATTGACTGGGGATAGAATGAACACATGATGGCCGATGAATATGACAGAAAATGACTGTGCTCTAAGACATGACCGTGGGATGGAGAAGGTTTTGGAGAAGCCGGGGGAGACTCAGATGGCCTGATGCAAGGGAAAAGAGCAGAACCAAGAGAATGTTCGCCCAGGGATAGCGTAAAGACAAGCGACTTGGAGAGACGTGAGAGTGGGGATCGGCAAAATGGCCAGCTGAGTCCCAGCATCCAGCCGATGCACGAGGGAGCATCCTGCCTCCTCTATAGAATGAGACGTCGACGTCTGGACGCGGCCAATGGCGGGGCTCCATTTGGTGACCTCGCACAGTTGTTGCGAAAGGGTTTTTTCTTTGTTTTGGTTTTTTTTTTTTCAATGGCGGAAGGGTGTGAGGGAGAAAAAATAGATTCTTGTTGATTGAGATAATTTAATTTACAAAAGAAAATATTGCTCTAGAAATATCAATAGAAAATTCTGACTAATAATAAACATTGCTTTATAAATGTAAGAAAAGTCTTTTTTTTTTTTTTTGGCTAGGCAATGGGGTTAAGTGACTTGCCCAGGGTCACACAGCTAGTAAGTGTTATGTGTCTGAGGCCGGATTTGAACTCAGGTCCTCCTGAATCCAGGGCCGGTGCTCTATCCACTGCGCCACCTCACTGCCCCAAGAAAAGTTTTAAAAGGGTCTGTATGGCCAGCCTACACCTCAAAGAGTTGAATGGGGCCCCAAGGAGGCGGCTCTGTCCATCCCACTCACTGAGCAAGCTGTGGGTCACGGTGACTTAGCTGGCCCAGTCTGATATGATGGCGACGCAGGGAAGAAAAGAAGCAGCTTTTCCAGCCCAATCGGACCACAGCTGGAGAGCCCCGACCTCTTCCCTGATCCCTGATGAGCCCAGAGAGGGGAGGGGACCTACCCCACAGGCACTGTCTCCAAGCCAAGCCCCCACTGGACCAGGCTGCCTTGGTGGCATCCCCGGCCTTGTTCACATGACCAATGTCCAGAAGCAGAATTTCCAAAGGCCGCTGTATCAGGAACACACCCGCTTCCGTTCTCTGCACCCCGAAATAGAGGGCAAATTAAGGCCGGCGACAAGAGGCCTGACTATGAAATCACAATGTGGCTTCTGGTGTGGAATGGGAGGCCTGCTATGCCCCAGCCTAGAAATAGCTCCTTTCTGGGCAGGCTTCTGGGCAGATGCTGCCAGTGAATG